ATTAAATATGCGTATGCATCTTACAGGCAGATTCACTTGGTGACTACTTATTGACAGCCACATTTACTGTTGTCACTTGCAAATTTTATTTGTTTGCACTAACCTTGTCACTGTCGAGTACCGAGTACCGAACTAGTTACTTCTGGCTGCCCATGTCACGCAGTCAAGAGCGAGGCAAGGATGGGAGTGGATGAGAGAGAGGGTTAGAGGGAGAGAGAGAAAGAGAGAGATAGAGAGAGAGAGAGAGAGAGGAGGGGAGAGGAGGGTGGTGCGACACCCGTGGCCAGTCAGTTCCGCTCCTCGCGCGGCCCGTGCACCGCTGTGTGGCTGGGGGCGATATTTTTACCCCGTTCCTGGGACGAACGGTCCGCCCGAACAGTGCGCGCTGCGCTGTTCAGTCACCAGCATTATCGATGACTTGTTTTTCACCCCAGCCCCGAACCTTTGTTATCTCGGGCGACTTCCGAGTCGGAACGAGCAGACATATTTCCGAAATTAGCCTACGCGGGAACGTTCTGGGGCGATGTTGGTCATGAACTGGGCAAGACGGTGGTGACTGGACAGGACAGGCAGGTCAAATATTGACGGACCTTTTGGCGTCCCAAGAATGCATGTTCTTTTGTTGCTGGTGCCATTGCAGACGTTGCTGGTGCCGTGTCACGGCGGTGTAATTTTCCGACTTCCAAGGACACCGGGAGGGTCCCGGCGCAGAAGCGCCGTGTATCGTGGAGGGTCGTATGGCGCTTCCGTCCGACTATCTGCGGCAGGCAGAGGTAGTGGCCGAGGACAGCGGCAGCCGGGAGGGTGCTGGTAGAGCCGTGTGTCGCGGAGAGCTGTATGGCGCTTCCGCTCGCGACTATCTGCAGCGGACGCCGGTCAGACGTCGGTGCTACGCTGCTCTGCCACCGAGCGTATACCTACTGCTCTGCCGACGGGCCGTGCTAGTCTGACGGTCGACTGTCGCCCAGTCCCTCTGTGTCTATACCGCGGAACCAACAACGGAGTACGTTACAGATGTTACAGGATTAAACCAGTAAAACGCCTTTTGGGCGAAGAACGAGCGAGCGAGATAGTGAGCCCTGCACGTGCGGAAGGGCGAGAGGGTGCTTCCAACGGGCTTGTGCAAAGCACCCTTCTAACCCGTCGCTAGCGGTGTGCCAAATTTGAACGCAATCGGCCCAGCCGTTCCTGAGATCTGGCAGCGGCATTCTGCACGCGCGCACGTGCAAACGGGGTCCAACATGACTTTTGACGGCACCCTACTAACTGGTCCCCAACCGTGTACCAAATTTGAGCGCAATCGGCCCAGCCGTTCTCGAGATCTGGAAACGCCCCCTGCACGTGCGCACGTGCAGTAGCACCCTAACCGCAACACATGGGAATCCAATGCCTGGTGAGTGCCTACCTGTATGCCAAGTTTTAGCGAAATCGCCCCAGTAATTACCGAGTTACTGAAATGGGAACAAATTTGGCACCTCTTATTGTTGTATTTTGCACGTGCACTGGGGTTGACCCACATACTCGTACATCGAGAGTATCCTATTTTGGGTAGAAGGGATGCTGCTACCCTACAAAAATTCCCGCAAGTCAATCGCCCTAGCGGCTGCTGAGATATGAGCCTCTCAAAATCACTACTTTTGCAAAACAGCTTGAACACCCCTGACTTTTCACGTGGCACGTGCCACGACGGTCACTGAGATGTATCAAAAGTAGTCAATTACGGGGTAGAAGGGATGGGGCTACCCAATAAAAAAGACCGCAGGCCAATCGGTCCAGCTCGGTTGCTGAGATATAAGCCTCTCAAAAGCGTTACAGGCCGGGCCGGGCCGGGCCGAGCTGCTCATACTGAGATTTTTCCGTTATATTGAAAAGACTCACTTCGCTCGCTGCGCTCGCTCGCTCGTAATTATAGAGGCTTTGTTTTACTCTCCTAACTAAAACTTGGTTGACACTTGGTGGATACAAGCCAGAGTACTACAAAATGAGCATTGAACATTATTTCCATTGTTCTATTTTACGACGACGGAGAGAAGATGTCCTTCATTGCCTGATGCCTTGAAGGTCACTGGTGTCCTGGCATTTGTGGTGCTTCATAGGTCAGTGGTGCGGGTTGGTAGACGCTCCAGCCGCCCGGAGCCGGGAGCTGGGAGCCGCCGGACAGAGCCGGAGCCTCGGGCACCGCCAGGAGCCGAGCGGGAGCTGGCCGTATAGCCAGCAGTGTCCCAGCTGCGGCCAGCGGCCTGCAGGAAGCCGGCGCTCTATCTGCGCCTCTTCCTGATGTCCGCCGGCCGAGTCGGCCCGTGGCCCACGCGCCACGGAGCTTCCGGCACGTGCGGCCGCTCGTGCGGTGGCCGCTATAGGTGTCAACCGGAACTGGACATCTTTAAGCCGCAATTTTGTGCAAAGTCCAATTCGAAAAATTGCGTGGCGGAAGATGAATTATAATGTATTACGGATTTTTTTCCACTTTTTATACATTTCACATATAGCTTTCCTAAAAAAAAACATGAGAACTAACCTTATTTGAGTAGAACGGCTTACTGTATTTAAATATTTTGCTCCTGCCGATTTCCCCAATTTAAAAGTATCAGCGTTTTAAGTCGACAGATCTTATAATAAAACATGTTTAGTCATTTCGCGGTGTCGGCAGTTTTTAGACGCACAGGTGTCGGAATAAGAAATAATTTGATCGGACATTTAACACACCATCTATGCAATAACAAAAAAAATGCCGTAAAATAGTATAGCAAGTGGGCTGAAACAGCAAGCAACAGGCACGTACCCAGGATTTCGCCCAGGAGGGGGCCACCTGCTTTCGAAGGGGCCCACCACAGTGTATAGGGCCCCCCAGGTTCCCCGGGGGCCCCGGGAGTCATGAAGAACCTTTCGATGGTGGGGGGGGGGGGGGGGGGCATAGTGGGTCCGGTCTCTCCTGCAGACGTAGGTGAGAAAACGCCACGTGTGTGGGAAAACGCAATTCAGTTCTTTACAACCTAATGTAGCATTTGGTTGTGATTTCTCGCGGTCAACTTCATCAAAGTCAATTAAAACGGTCTCTGTAACGGTCTAAGCCTTGAGAAAATGTGGAAAATTGGAAAGTAAAAATAATTTTGCTTGAGGATTGTGCATGAAACGCACGGCATTTTATGAGCGAGCGCAATTACTGAACATCCTCCAATTCCGGATATGTAGGTATATAATATAATAGTGGGGAATAAATGTCTCGTTATCGGAATTCCACTATCTGGCAACTAGCCCTATGTAAACGCGGCTATTATATGTTTCACTAGGAATCGAGCGCAATTGTACTTTTAGCCAGAAAATAAATGCTTGGGTAATTCTGGGACACTCTGTATTAATTGGAGGAATAGGACTTAGGAGGAAATGCGATTGCAAATCGACCCACATCCCTGTGTTAGCCAATGACGCCTTTGGGGCCAAGGTTGGGGGGTATTCAGTTTAGCCTTTTTGTTTTTCTGTGATATCTCCGGCACCGTGAAAGATATTGGCTCCTTCAGATAAGTGCCTACTCCAGTCACTACTTATATCCAGTAGCCAGTAGCCACTCAGATGATTTGGGATCAATCAGGTGATAAGCATACTTTCAGACGACCAGGGGCCCCCAGTCGACCAAGGGTTCCCAGGCGACCAGGTCCTCTAGATGACTAGGGGCCCCACTGCCCCAGGCGACCAGGGCCCTCCAGGCGACCAAGGGCCAATGCGATCAGGTCCTCAAAGCGATCAGGGGCCCCCAGGCGACCAGGGGGCCCCCATGCGACCAGGCCCCCGGCTACCAGGGGCCCCCAGGCGACCAGGGGCCTTCTAGGTGACCAGCGGCCCTCAGGCGATCAGGGGCCCCCAGGCGACCAGGGGATCCCAGGCTACCAGGGGCCCAAGGCGACCAGGGTCCCCCAGGCGACTAGGGGCGACCAGGGGCCCCAGGCAACCAGGGGCCCCCATGCGACCAGGCCCCCTGGCTACCAGGAGCCCCCTGGGCGACTAGGTACCCCCAGGCGATCAGGGGCCTCAATATCATGCGACCAGAGGCCCCCCATGCGACTAGGGCCCCCTAGGCGACTAGGGGCCACAGACTATCAGGGGTCCATACGACCAGGCCCCTGGCTATCAGGGCCCCCTAGGCAACTAGGGGCCCCCAGTCGATCAGGGGCCTCATGCGACCAGAGGCCCCCCATGCGGCCAGGGCCCCCTAGGCGACTAGGGGCCACAGGCTATCAGGGGTCCCCATGAGACCAGGCCCCCGGCTACCAGAGGCCCCCTAGGCGACCAGGGGCCCAGGAAACTGGGGGCCCTTGGATGACTGCAGGGGCCCCTCGGGTACCCAGGGCACATAAATGAAACTTTAATATCAATTTTTCTTCCGAGTAAAAGACGTTATATCCAGTGTTAAAAAAATATCCTGGGGCCTGAGGGGCCCCCTGAGCGCCTTCGGCGCTCAGGGGGGGCCTTGGCCCCCGTGGCCCCCCCCTTGGGTACGTCACTGGCAAGCAAGGGTCTGGTCGGAGGTGAAACAAAATTAGAGAGGAAATACGAAACAGGATGAGAGAAGAAGACAACGGAAGAGAAAAGTGGAAACTCATACTTTGCGCTGCCTTGGGCATTCTCGTTTGGAAATGCAGCTGCCCGTCTATATGGCGCTGTATTTGCGATTCATTGAGCATGCTGTGGGAATGGAAACTGTTATATAATGCCCTCCGGACGTGGTGTGCGCGGTGTGGACGTTATCGGAACAGGCCGCGAGAAGAACGTCCGGCTGAGCAGGGTGTAACGCATGAAACCTTTATGACGACGATATGCGATCACAGGGTGGGAGGAACTTTTTACTTCCTTATTTAAACATTCGACCAATACACGCTGCATTGTATACTGAATGCCGCAGTACGGCTGTTCAGTGTTCATTTTGTGCATATGTATTCTTTTTCTCGCTGATTTGCATGTGCGGTGCTATTTCTGACACGGTCGGTGTCCTGTTTGTTTACCAGGTGGCTGCTGTTGCTGGTGATATTGGTCACAGAGCTTCAGCAGAGCACCGTGCTGGCCAGGAGAAAGGTGAGCTGACTGCGACGTCGGACGCTTACGATGACATAGGTACATATTTTCTTGGTGCTATACTAAAAACACGCATTAGTGTGTTTGCTCCTATTTTAAAGTAAATGCGTGCGTTGCCTTTGTCATAAACGTATCGCCATCGCTTTAGGCTTCCGTTATGACCCAACTTCATCTATGCCCCCGGCCGGTCCTTACCGGCACCTCGGTGTGTTTTGTTCTCTCTCCCAGCACCGGATACGTCACGCCACCACCGGCGTCCCAAGCGGCAGCACGGCGGTAGCCAGGTGTACTCGTATGTGCTGGAGCGGGACGCCGGCCCGTGGGGCCTCTGGGGCACCCAGTCGCCCTGCTCGCGCTCCTGTGGCGGCGGAGTGGCCTTCCAGACCCGCCGCTGTACGGATGAGAGGTGAGCGCTCTTACGACTAGAACGAGAAGTGTGTTATCTGGCCAGTCCGACTCACGTTAAAAGATGTATCAACGAGAGGTAAGCACTTGCATTGGTCCATCAATATTTTATATTGGATCGAAATTTCAGCTGTCTGTCTTTCACTGTTCCACTACCAATGAAACGAAAAGTGAATCTCTCTCTCTCTCTCTCTCTCTCTCTCTCTCTCTCTCCTCTCTCCTCTCTCTCTCTCTCTCCTCTCTTCTCTCTCTCTCTCTCCTCTCTCTCTCTTCTATCTCTCTTTCTTCCTCTCTCTCTCTCTCTCTCCCCTCTCTCTCTCTCTACTCTCTCCCACT